TGCGGACTAAGTATGAATTCTTGCGCCCGCCCTTGCGCCACCTTGCGCGCGCATGGGTTTTTGCAACCCCTTTCAAAACCCTAATGCCGCCCTTAGTCATGTCACAAGAGGCGGGGGTTTAGAACGGCATCCAGTTGCAGTCCTTGTCTTTGTCCAGGGCATCAAACAAGGCTTGCACCTGGAGAGTCACGTTGGCTGACGTCCCCTTCTCAGAATCAGAGGATAGACCTTGACAAGCTACCCATGACTGAACCAAAAACGGCCGAGTGCCAAGGCTTCATCCGTTGTATTGCCGAGAGTTCGTAAGGCGAGAGGATCGGCTAAGTCGTGGACCTCCATATCGGTTAAATTTGGATCTCCGCGACGCAGCAACTTGCACAGCTCCTGCCACCAGGACAATACATAGGGAGACTAGCATAACCGCTTCCTTGCTGTTGCTGTCGCTGCGCCAAGGATGTACATGTCGGCAACACCTGGAAATCAAGTGTGCCGTTTCGGTTCAGGTCGTACTTGATGAAGGACGTCTTCTCCTACACAAGGAAAGCTGCGTAAAGGAAAATCTAGACAGTTGCGGCCCCGCCCGTAGCAACTACCCAGCCTGTGCAAATCCCACTGCTGTGTCGTTGTTGTCAATTCCAACCTGGAGACTTTCAACCCACTCCAAGCCACCATGCTTCGTCTGCTAGGCCGCGTCTTTTTCACCCATGCTCCAGCTCATGCAGTATGTTGCAGTGGGATGGCTGGGCAAGAAAGGCTACCTCGCAGCATGTATACCAGACCATGTCGCTGAGGAGTATCGTAGTACAGTAAGGCACCATAGCAACATAAATCCTGGGACTGCGTTGAAAAGCCTGTGCCGCATTTGAGCACGTCATTGACAAGGATTTTTTCAAGTTTCTCCTTCCCCCGCAACGTCTGGGAAACACCCTGAGAAAGCAAGCCATGTCCAGGTATGGGTGAGAGCATAAAATGAAAGATCAACGCTGAATTAGGCGCTTCCTCTTTGTTCATGCTTAAAACTGGGCCCGCTGCTGTGATGTGGCCGGTTCCAAAGTAGCTTCCACCGGGTACCTGCAGCCAGAATTTCTATGAGGTGCACAGGGGCTCCATTTCCGAAAACGACATGGCGAAATGACACATGCAGCGCTCTACCAGGTTCGGCAGTCTGTCTATCCCACCTTCTCGGACACGGTGTTGTTGTATGCCTGAAGCTAGACTTCAGCATAAGCATGCAATAGTGGAAGCTTTCAGCGTGTACTTGCTCACTTTGTTTGGCAACTACAGTACTCAAGGGAGGATTTACTCTAATCACATGCTCCCTGGCATGCAGGTGAGTGCTCAAGGACACGCAACATCAAGTAACTGTTTGTTACCATTTCTTTGACCGAGGTGCCCCTGGTCCTGGCGTTGGCAGCGGTGGTGACATGCGGGACTTGTGAGCACCCGGGATGGATGGCTCCTCACAGAAATAGATTTGATTTTGGTTGTTGCACAAACTTTGGTTCAAAGCGTCATGCGCCATGCTCCAGGACGGAGGACAAACATCAGGTAGCCCGAGATGTGCAAACCCTCACCCCGTGTTGCAAGATGTCTCGCATCTAGCCTGCACGCTGCTGCCAGAGCTAACTGTGGCAGCTTTGCCGCCCGTTGAGCGCCTTGGCCAAGCAACGCATGACTGCCAGGAAGTGCAGGTAAGCCGAGCCATTCGAGGTTTTGTGAGGTTGATAGCGGCGGCCACCACTACGAGCACCAGACTTTTTTGGGAATAGTCAGACGAATCCAGCAAACTTGCAAATCGGGAAGCGATGAAAAAGCTAACGACCGAAAACAGTATGAAGACAATGCAGATAACTGATAAGCGGAGGTGCCAGCACGCGCAGAACAGACAAGAGCGGAAATTTAACGGCAAAGCATGGTGCTTTACGAACTTGCCAGTTGAGGGCATTCCAAAATGGCGTCTTGCTTGTTTCTCTCCAGAGGTTTGTGGATGGATTCAGGGGCACTAAGCAAATTACTGTTGAGTCACCCCTCCACTTGATGAGGCATACAACCCAGGAGACCCTACACAGTCATACAGCAAAGGCCCGAGACCATCGGAGCAACCCATCAAGCAAAGCAAGCTGAGCTGTCCCTGTAATAAACCCGGCTCCCTGGCCTGGTCAGCAGGTTTGGCAGGCTACCGGCCTTTGCGACTGCAGGTTGTGCAGGTTTTGCAACTGCATGGTATCTCCATCCACAGACACAACTGCGAAAGAGGAACATTACGTAACAAATCAGACGCGCGTATACATATATATATATATTCATATATATATATATGTAAGCATGTAGGCCTGGATACCTGTGCGCATATCTAAGGTTGGAATATATCTTTTGACGAGGAAGTGACATTGCTAACAAGCAGCATGCTATGCACTGAAGGTCCTGATCACAATGAGTATCGCTGCCAATAAACAGTGCCAGCAGCTATCATAACAGTTGTTCATAAGTAGCAAGGGCTTGAATGCTTTCATGCAATCCATATTTCCCTGTCCCCTGAGTCTCAGGCCCTGCGCCGGGACACGATTGCGCCCTCCGTGGTGGCTGTCTTTCGGGGCGCGTTATCTGCTGCCTCCCAGGCATCCTAAAGCTCAAAAGGGCGAGGTTGAGCCCAGAAGAGTCGAAGAATGGCGCAATTTTCAGCCTCATTTTGAAGTTTAGGAAGCCAAGATCGAATCCTTTCGGACCACGCACTATCGACATAGGACCCGAAAGGTGTAGGCTAGGATAATTAGAGGGAGCCAAACCTGCTTGGATTATGGCGGAGCCAGCATGCTCACTGCTCGTCAAAGAAAAGCCACTTTGTCTGCCGATTCCTAACTTCGAAGCTACGAATCGTCGAGCCGATTCTTGAAGTTTCCGTGGAGCAGAGTTTATACTCATGGGATCAGGACTGGATATGCTGTTGCGTTGAGAGATCACGTGTTGGTGCTTCCGGCAAGCCTTGGAGACTGCTGACGTGGAAGTACCAGTTATCAGCTCACTTGCGCCGAAAGTGTAGTTCCCAAATACAGCCGCAAATTGTGAGGTATCGGTGCTGGTTTCCCGTCTGTAAACAGGGTGCCAGCAAGCTGGCGTGATAAGTGGCACTGCTTGCGAATATCTGCGAATATACTACGTACCTTCTAGGGGTATCAAGGATGGGTTTCCCCTATGCGCAAACAGGGATGGAAAAAATCACATAAACCACAGCCGCCCAAGGACCTGTTCATAACGTTGAGATATATCGGATCAGCACAATAATGTTGCGTTTAGGCGTCTCGTGCGCATAGAGTTCAACGTTGCAGCTTACCACCAGCACATCCTCAAGTATTCACTTCCGAGGCCCCCTCCTAGCATTCAATTTCAAGAGGCCCACACACTATACCTGCCGGGGTCCAAGAATGACGCACTTGTGTAAGAAATTGAAATGGAAAAGACATCTTAGCCGAATGTTGCCCCAAAGCTGCCTCCGCCCTTTATTGCCTGCAGCAACAAAACATAGTCGGGATCCAGTGAGAGATCCACACATGACATGCTAGGGATTCCTCGTTTTCGGAGACTGCTGTTTTAGGATCATAGTTGGGGGCGGTGTCAACAAAGCTTCAACGTATCTCATGCGCGTTACAACTTCCAAGGGGAGTGCTCACCAAGAATGACCCATCCGTAGTTCTCCAGGCCTTCTTCCTTGGCACGATGGCTTCCTTGACCGGTTCGTGGACTTCCTGACATGGAACTCCAAGTGAAATCACGTGAAGCTCCTGAAGTCGATGGAGTATGCAGGATACAGGGAACATGTGCCACACTGCAGAATTTGTCATGTGTTTATTTGCTTCAGTTGCACATGCTAACACAGGCATGTTCCAATACTTGGTGCATCTGTACCACGCAAGGTGAGGGTATCCTTGATGCGAGGATCCCCCACATGAGACCATTACAGTGGTTTGCAATAGGATGTGTCAAGCCGAGCATTGAACAACACACAGCAAAGCAGGTTAAGGGGATGAGATCCAAGCGTGCCAAAGATATGATTGCCGGCTTTTCCTCGCAAAACAAAGCAGGCCCCGTGCAAAACTCAGTGGGCGCTTATCACACTTTAGCTCCGTTGCTTCTACATCCCAAGCAACATAAGCCTAAAGATCACTACGGCATACTCACTGTTACAACATACCGGCAAACTTGCGTCCTCGACAACTTTTGGCGGCTGGATGGTTTGTTCGAGCTGCTGCTCAGCCTGCCAGACATACGAGCCCAGTACCGAGCCCAATACCCCGAATTACGTCAACTACCATACGCTTACCCCTTTCAACAATGTGTGAAGAGAACATCTTTGCACGTCGATCTCCAAGAGCTGTTATGACCTGTCGTGTCTGAAGCCCCACCGAAATTCAGAAATTCATGTGCACTTCTTCACATGGATGTCACAGCCTCTGCAGAGTCCACGTAGCCCCAAAACCAACCCGATAAGTCCCATGAAGTTCTCTGCTGGCATCCGCCGGCCTTCTCTGCGACGGGCGCAGCTGGTGCTGGTGGAGCCTTCATGGGCATCCCTCTTGGAGGCATGAGCTGCTTTTGCATATGTGGGTTTGATTTTTCCCTGAGGCTTCAAACAAAGACCATAGGGTTGTGAGTTGTCAGGGCATCTGGGGCAAAATGAAGTTCAAAAAGCCTGTAAGATGTTTTATGGCTTTTCAGACGAGTACGAATCTCCATTGATCAGGGTGGCACTAGTGCCTTCCCCACCCGCTCGAATGTTGCATCCCTAAATGCTTTTAAGGTATGTATCCAGCCTAAGAAGAAAAGCAGAAACCCATGAGGATGATCAGTCCTCTTCCTTGGCATTCAAAACACTAGCGCTGCTGAGCACTTCACTGGCGGCTCTTCCTTCTTTGCTTCCAGAAGTTCAATGCCCATGAACTCTTTGCAGCACTTCACGAACCTTAGACAGGAATCGCAACATCTGGTAGTTGAAGGCGTGCCATGTGAACCTTACTCACAAAGTAGCTCTGCTGGCAGGTCACGGCCAAAGCAGTTTGTGGAAGCCATGCTGCGGCTACCCTCTACAATGTACCCTGCCTCTGCCCGCGCAAACTCTTACCGGATCACCTGAGATACTACGGTAGGAACCTTGGTAAAGAATCTGTGAAGAATCAAGAGGAAGCCTTCCAAAGGGCCTGCAGTCCAAACGCCCACCTCTTCTTCTATAATGTTTATATTAAGTATGTTGAGTACTCCATGGTTTTCAGGATCCTGTAGCTTCCTCCACTGATCCACTGAAGAGATCCATGCCCTAAAGGGAAGACCGAGCCAAGGCCCGAACTCGCCGAACGACAACTGGCATGGGGTCAGGATGATTTGTGTAACAAGGGGATGGAGTTCAGTATGCAAGGACTGGCTTTGACCGCCTTCTCGTCGAACGAACTTTGTTCCCAAGCGATTAAAGATGCACCAGGCGCACACTTGGCGAAGCTAGTATAGTTGAGTACCATGTTAGGATCAGTCACCTAAATGTCCACCTCAAAAAGTTACACGACGCTCTAAATAAGCATCCGGCAGAGCAGATCACAGGTTCATACAAACGATCCCTGAAAATCATTTCAACAACACGAAGCCACAACCCCTACGTGACCTCCAGCACTCACACATCCTATCACCTCATGCATCCGACCTTCCCATCGCGGTCGCCATCAACCTTCTGAAAGATTTGCTCGGCCTTGTGCTGGCTGCGGCAAATTACTCATCACAACCAAAAGGGAGATGAATAATTTACCACCCCGACGTCTGAAACCGCGGGATGATTCATGCCCTCTCTTGTAAGGTTGCCTATGCTACGGATTCTCGAAGTCCTCGTTGTGGTCACTTTGATCCTTTGACTGTGCCGAAAAGTGCTAAGAACACCTGAGGGTCTCATGGCTTGTCGGTACCTCAAACAGTTGTACTTCGGCAACTGGACTCTTAGCCATGGAGGCAGATTCTGCCCAGCTGGGGCAGTTGCTTTCGCTCGTGTCATGTCACAGTCGTCCTCAGAGATCCACTCGTAGAACTCCTCCTGTCAGTTGGTCTTGCCAAAAGCAGCTCATAGGGAAGGCTTTAAACATGACAGGTCCTTGTGGTGTTCGGGAGATTGCAATTTTCGAAGGTGCTCATTGTTTTTTTTGTGCATTTTGTGTGCATATCAGGGCATTGGCTCCAGAAACGATTCAGATGCTATTGGTATTGATACGCTTTCTTGGACCCCACGTCATTGCCACCGCTCCCCTCCCCTGAGCTGGGCACGAACTCCAGCAGTCCATCCTTGTTCGCATCGAGCCCCCTGGCAAGAGGCACATGGCACACAAGCGACACCAAAGCTGCGAGCTATATAGTGCCAACCAGCAAGGGCACCTGAATCGACTGTAGAGGGCCTTTGAAGGTGCACGACACGGAAAGCGACCAAACAAGAGAGATTTGTGGAGGCTTCCGCGGTGTCTAAGCTCTCCGCACTTGCAGACATGCTGACTGTCATCCCGCCCTCCTGCGGGCTTCTGATCATCCATTTCATGCAAGAAAGCCGTGGACATGCTCAGGCGTGCAATGAGAAACTGTTTTGACACGCAGCTCTAGACTCCTTTGGACTCCTCACCGCCGCGTCTCCAACCCCTCCGTTCTCTGAGCCAAATGCTGCGAGGCGTTGTGTCAAAACGCCGACTCTCCGCCTGACGTGCTTGAAACAAGCCTCCTGATACGCAGCACTTCACATCATCACAAAGTCTGACAGAAAGAGCTATCTGCCGGCATTCAAATGGCCTGCTGGAACCACCCGGCTTTGAACACCAGAGACATGCTGTGTTTTCACTGGGACGGCCAGTGCTCAACCCAGTCCCCTTCAGGGCCTCTGCTTTGCAGAGCCCACAGTCACTGCAAGCCTGCGTTCACTTCTACACCTGTCTAGGTCTCAGCTTGGCAGTTCCTACAACTACAATCGCTGCAAGCTTCCCGTCACTTGAGGAGGCAGCCTCAGCAAGTTACTCACAACTAAGGTGCTGCCTTGTCCCTTTCTGCCTCTATTCTTGCTTCAGCTGATTGAAGACACGCAAGTTCAAGCAGCTGACTGGAGACACTAACACCGCAGCATGGATGCGTGGTGGGTATGCCACGGGAGATATACCCCCAGTTCGTATTTGCCGAGGGGCATCTTCCAAAGGCGCCGTGCAGCGCCCGCTACTGAAGTCACGTTGCTCGCGTTCGGCTCTTCCCAATCTGAAGCTGTGCTCAGGCATCCTATGGCATCCTCACTGTCTCCATGTAAGCCCTTATCTCCTTTCAGAAGCTTCGCCCCGGTCACATTACAAAATTTTCAGAGAGACTAACAGAAAGTAAGGGGCAAGCAGAATGTGTCCATCACAAAACCTAGCAACCAAACCAAGGATGGAGAACAAAAAGCAGTTCTGCCACTCTGAGGGGGGCCTGTAGGAAATCTCGTAACTATGCAGCTTCGAGTGCACGCACGACCGAAAAATACTCGGGCAGCGGCCTTCCCAAGGATCTCCGTCATCTCCTCCAGTCTTGTTGGTCAGGAAGAATACCACGAGAGCCGTACATAGAATGGACCTCAGCAGGCAGAAAAGAATGCGCAATGTTCAGAACTAAACTACAGAGATCCGTTTTGCCACTCTTTTGATAGCCCTTCAAGGGGACATGTGTCGCTTGGAGTCGAAGAAAAGCTTGCCGACTCAGCAAGTTGACTTGAAATTTCCGACCGCTTGGCATTCAGCCATGTGCGCGGCATTCACAGGTGGAAAGGGTAAAGCAGTCCAGTGAGCCGTGGACCAACTACACATGCTCAGGAGAGGACGCGCATGTGCAGCAGCAGATGGCCACGTATTCGAGCCACCGTTTCACCTAGCAAAGGCAGCAGAGTCTAAGGCAACAAATGGGCTATGAACACGAGCGCCATTCGTCACCCTAATTGTCGAAAAATGTCAGTGGTAGTTGAAGCGCTCTACAGCAGCCGCAGGAGGAGCATTTATTGTGGTTGCAGCTGCAATAGTTAGTTGTAATGCAATTGCTCGTTGCAGCTGAAGCTGCACAGTTGTAGCGCGGTACCAGTAGTAGCCGTAGTCACAGCAGTAGCAGTATAGCAGTACAGCGGCAGTTCCTTCACCAACTTGTGCCCCTTTCTTGGGAGCTGGAACCTTACGCCCCTGCCACCCACTTCCCCTCCTCCCCCACCAACCCCCGCTCTCTGCTGGATGCCTCCCTCCCACCCCATCTTTTTTGGAGGTTCTTCTCTGCGTAAAAAGAGCCCCGACTCGCTCCCTGCCTCCCTTTCCGACCCCCCTTCTTCACCCCCATCTCGATCCAGTGCGACGCGGCGCGGGCCAGCGTTCATATGTCTACCTTTTCCTCAGCGGCCTATCCATCTGCTAATTTATTTCACAAATAAGACACCGCTTTAGCCATTTTCAACTCAACAATAATCAATCGCAACAAAGAGCTCTGTGGCAAACCCACGCACCTTCACGCAGGTGATTGCAGCCTCTGATGGGGCCACGCAGGCCAGGAGGACCAGCAGCAAAAGGCCCATGTACTGCCGGCGCCTGAAAGCAGGAAGGATAGGATTAACATGTGACATGACGATGAGCTACAGTTTTCAGCGGGAGATCTGCATGTTAGCCAATGGATGAGAAGCTGCTGACACGCCTTTGGGGGAAATGCAGCTCTTTCACTTTCACCAGTTCGAGAAATGCAGCTCTTTCACCCGGAGCCTTCAAGCAGCGACGACTTTTAATCAGCCCCCAGCATCCGCCCTAAATCGCCCTATAGTTTGCATTCAACAGAAGATATGGCCAAGCCACATTTCCGCCATCTTCGCTGGTCGATTGGCTGCCCAGTGACCTTCACAGAGAGGATGGCTGCAATGCGAACGGCAGCGCGAGACGATTGATCTCCGTCACCCTCCCACACAGGTTGTTGTCCTAGTGCCTATGAGGGGCTCATGAATTCGGTCAATCCGGTCCCGCCGGCCAAAAACAAGTCACGTCAACAAGCTGCAGCAATGGGGAAATACTGGCACAGCGTGATATTCTATCAAGAATTTACAAGGCATGCAACGCTAAACAGCTTCCATGTCGGTCCCATCCTCCACCATGAGTACACCTTTTGTCCAACTGCCAAGCTGGGCCTGCTGTCACGGGAGGCAACCAGCCGCTCAACGAGGCGCCATCATTGCACTTCTTCTGCTTCCCGGCATAGCGTGCACAGATTTGAGCAGGAAACGCCGGGCAGTGTTTTCTGGGAGCAAACAACTAACAAGCTTCTGGACTTGCACGTGCTAAACTCTGCGTGAAGGTTCTTTGGTGAGATCGTGGAGCTGTTGTGTCATCAGGACCTGATTTAAAGCATGCATAGTAGCGGTCCTTGACGCCCCAAAGCCAGACGTTATCTCCCGGGACTTGCGATTCTGGGTTTCCCCTAAAAACCCTATATAACCCCTGTATAATATGGTAGTTTGCATTTTCTGCTCCATTTTCTCTGCTTCCAAAGCTTCTGCAGGGTCCACTGGCCGTGCGGCGCAGGGTGGCGGAGCTGCCAGCAGCGTTTTTCAGGCTTCAGAAGGACCTTGACTTGTGTAGTCCCCTTTAAGTAGATAGAATCTGGCTTTGGGTATAGAATAAACATATCCCCATATCCCATATTCTATCTACTTAAGGGGGACTATACATGGACGGCAAGCACAAGGAACAATCTCTACCTTTACTCATCACTTTTCTCTATTATTGAACCCCACCTGATGTGAAACACAGGTTCTTTCCCCCGAATTCCCAATTCTGAAATCTGCCACCAAGACTGCTTTTAAAAGGGCCAATACTGGTTCTGGTTTTTGAATGGTTGTGACAAAGGAATTTAGATAATCCGAATGCGCTTTTGATTGGGTTTATTGCGGCCGTACATCTTTTTACTTAGTATGCAATTTGATTTTACGTAAATTTCAATTGATATTAGTCGATAACTTGATTTTAGTAAGATTTAAAACAAGTTTTAAGGTGTTTGAATACGTTTCTAAATTTGGTTCAAAGTTGGTTGTTGTTTGGTTTGACTTTTGGGTTTTGTGTCACGATTCTATTACGTTGTTGATTCCATTTAATGTTTTTTATTCGATTTAATCGAACTGTATACGATTTCAATTCGATTTCAATCGGACCGTATTTATGTACCTTATATACCTTCCCTAATGTTCAGGCTGTACGATAAATAGCCCCCCACCTCCTGATATTAAATACAAATAGGTTCATAGTATATACATTAAGGGGAAGCCCTTTAAAAATAGGTGCAAAAGATTAGTGTTGATAAGGGTTGGTAGTCTGATGTTTCTGTGTCACCTCCTCTTCGATCCTCCTCCTGTTGCCACAGCTATCGTTGGTGTTGTTCCCTCCTAATCATGACGAAATGAAGGATTAATGGCTTCTGAGGTGAAGACTGCTATGCGTGACTGCGCAGATGCAAGGCGATTTCAATAAATGAGCATCGTGGAAGTGGGCCCATGGTTTCTGCACCATCCATGCGTATGACTGAGATATGCAACATTTGAGGAAGCCTATGTGCAAACAAATCCTTCTTCACCCATTCAAAACCTGCGGTGCGCACTTGAAATATGCAACTTACAGACCCATAGAACGATAAGGCTCTCCAGGCGCTAAACTGAGCTGAACTTTTGAAGGAAACTCGGCACCAATCCAACATGCCCATGCAAGGGAGAAACATGGGCTGTGTCTATCGTTAAGCCACTGGAAATCCTATCACAGAAGCCCTCCAGCCGCCTGCATCATACTCCTTACGTACTGAGCCTGCAACCAATTTTAGAGAAAGTCTAACTCATCAGAGCTACGAGGATGGCTGAACCTGGTAGCGGCTGCAGCACAAAGTCTGGATTCGGCGCGAGCTGATCCTAGGGCGCTTGCATTCATGAGTTGAGATATTAAAGTCAGCATCGACGCAGCAGGGCTCGGGGAAAAGGTGGCTTTGAAGACA